TAGATAGATAGATAGATAGATAGATAGATAGATAGATAGATAGATAGATAATAGAGAGACAGACAGACAGACAAAAACCATACAGCAGATAATCAATAGGACTACCATAGCTGCACTGCAAAAATCCAGATGGTTATATGGATGTCAACCTATTCTAGTCTGTTCTACCTGCCCTACCCTACCCTACCCTATCCTATTCTATCCTACTCTGGAAGGTACTAAAAAGACACCCAAAAAAGTGAATTCTTCCTTGCCTTGGTACAGTTGCCTGATTTTTGCAGTCTAGATCCGCTACTCTTACAATACAACGCTGTACTGAACAAAAAGAAAAAGAAAAATGCATGCAGAAAATATAGATATGAAAAAAAAGCTTTCCCATATTATGCAATACTGGTGGTGAAAAAATGTACATAAGGAAAATGCTCAAAAATGAAAACTACTTATGAGTTTCAGACTTAATATTCTTTTAAAAGTAACAGACTGGTGTAGGAATGGACTGAAAGCATCTTCAGGATAGCACACAAACAAACTATTCAAGACTGACTGATCTGCATCCTTAGCTACCACTCTGATTTTCCACATTCACACATAAAGCACCGAGAAGTGGCTGCAGCAATTTCAAGATTGTCAGCTTACTGCGTTAGTTGGAGTATTATCATCCTGTTCCGAAAACAGAAAACTGTCACCATGACATAAACCCATCTAAACTATATTTACTTATTTATTTATTTCATTTACTTCTGCCACAAACTTGTGATGGAGGTTATTGCTGTCACAGTAAAAGGAACAACAGAATTAAAACAACGTACAGTCTAAATTACAAACACACAACCGAAGTAGGAGAGAAAAATAATAATGAGATATTCCCAGGGTGTTACTGAAAGATTCTTTTTAAAAAGCTCCATTTTTAATCACTTCCTAAAAATATTCCCAGGGTGGGGGTCAGCCTGATTTTCAAGGTGGAACCTATACAGTATCATTGATATTGATTAAGAAAAGCAGCAGCTTCCATCAGCAGTAGCTGATTTCCCAAAACAGTGGGACAACATGAACTCCTTCCTTACTTGATCTAACAAAATTGGGCCATATTCAATTGGGGAAAACAGTTCTGTCAGTACCCTTGATGCACTTTAGCAATAGCAATAGCAATAGCACTTAGACTTATATACCGTTTTACATTGCTTTACAGCCTTCTCTAAGCGGTTTACAGAGTCAGCATGTTGCCCCCAAACAATCTGGGTCCTCATTTTTACCCACCTCGGAAAGATGGAAGACTGAGTCAATCTTGAGCCTGGTGGGATTTGAACTGACTGCAATTTGCAGGCAGTCGGCAGTCAGCAGAAGTAGCCTGCAGTACTGCACTCTAACCACTGCGCCACTGCGGTTCATTGTGCTTTAAATTGTACTTGGGAACTGAACTGGTAACCATTGTAGAATACACAATACAGACCATAAAGTACTGTACCAAGCTGATCATGCAACTGGACCATACTGGGATGTTTCCACCCCAAGTTTTAGGAGAGAGCTTTGGACTTTTCATCCTTTGTAAACTATGGTCTGGTACACCACACACCTTGAAATGACAAGGAAATCACAATATCATTTTTTGCTCATCCAGTGTGGAAGAGCTTTGTGGGATATGGGAAACAAACCAGGATTTGCAGCTGCAGACTGCCCATTCATAGAGATAGCTTAAGCTGTTCCAGTGTAAAAACTTTGGCAGAGTAGCCTAGCAATTCAAACATTTTCCTGATTTAGATCCATTTAATTACCAGTTAAACTCTGACAGCTGATTATCTTCACCTGACAAATGCAAATGCTCTGTTCTCATAATAATTTTACCATAATTTATTTCCTAGACGATGCATACTTACTGCAGGGACTTAATATTGAGGAACTTTATCCTGAAACCTCTAGTTTCATTACATATGATGGGTCCATGACAATTCCACCCTGCTATGAAACAGCAAGTTGGATACTAATGAACAAACCTGTCTACATATCAAGAATGCAGGTAAGATGAAAACCTTTATTGGCTATGATACATTACCTTTGGAAATAACGAATCCTTCTTATAATTGCTGCACCTTCAGAAACGTATACTTATTTTTCTGGAAAGCCACGGTAAATTAGGCAGCCTCCAATGGAGAAGTTAAAAAGAATCCCACAACTTTCAAACTTTGCATTTTTGAAGGTTATTATCACTGTTCTCCACCTCATATGGAGGCAAAGTACAGGTGTAAAGGGTTTAACCATTTTCAAGGCAAAATGTTTGGGTCAGTGGTGGGATTCAATTTTTTTTTTTACCACTGGTTCTGTGGGTGTGGCTTGGTGGGCGTGGCAGGGGAAGGATACTGTAAAATCTCCAGTCAGAGGTGGTATTTGCCGGTTGTCCAAACTACTCAAAATTTCCACTACTGGTTCTCCAGAACTGATCAGAACCTGCTGAATACCACCTCTGGTTTGGGTGCTTCAGAGGGCTAAATGGCCAATGGAAGGTTCCCTACTTAAGTACTAATGTTTTTGTTCTTTTTAAAAATATTTTTCCAAACTGCTACAACAAAGTCAAAAGCCTTCTAAGAGGCAGAAGAAGTAATGGCAGTTGGAGCACAATTATTATGTTTAGTAGTAAGACAAGAATATGAAAAGTAAAAAAAAAGTTACAAGTGGGACTTTGAAAAGTTGACAGAAGGAAAAGACTTGTGTTTCTGTCATAGTGAGATTCTTCTGGTTTCTCCCACCACTGCCTATAAAACAAGACAAACCAATCCAGTTTATCTCAGCCTTAAAAATTACAGTCCTGTTTAGGGGAAGAACGTCACTATCTCTCCTCTAATTCAGGGGAGTCAAACTCAAGGCCTGCAGGCTGGAGGTGCTTAGATCTGGCCCATGGGGCTGCCCTGGAAACAGTGAAAGACTGGCTGATAGTGCCTCTACCAGCAAAAATGGAGGGGCTGCATGTGGCCCTCCCACACTCCGTTTTCGCTGGCAGAGGGTTGCAGGAGGCCATCACAGTCGAAAATAGAGCTGGGAAGCCCGTTTCTGCTGGCAGAGTGCTCTGGCCACTGCAGGTGCTCCCAACACAAGTGACGTCAAGTTGACCACGGCCCCCTGAGGTCAAACAAATCCCTGATGCAGCCCTCAATGAAATTAAGTTTGACACCCCTGGTCTAATTCAATTGCAATAGTATTCCACCAGCAGCTTATATCAGTCATAGCACTCTTCCTTTTATTAAACAATGTCTCTTTATCATGTATTCAAGGTCATTATATCTGAAAAAGGCGGGGTGGGGTGAGTCACTATTTTCTCCTTCCTAGTAATGAATTGCACTGGAATAATGCTAATCTATGCCTTCTATTGATTTGAGCTGCAATCCTATATTCACTCGTTCTGAAGTAAAGTGTTTTGAAAATAATTCCATTTACCTTCAAATAATTGTGCTCTTGACAACATCTAGCTTCCTTTCACTGATCTGGACAAGCTAAGTAAGATCAGATCTGCTTAAAAATTTTATAAGAGACCACGAAAAAATAGGACCATAAGATAGACTGGGGAGATTAAAAAATAAATAAAACCCTGAAAAAAAATTGTAGCAGATAGGTGCTAAGAAAACTATGAACACTAAGAAAACTATGTGAAATCTCAGCTCCAAGGAGAGTTTATCTTAAACAGCGTTTATCAGAATGATATTGATAAATATTTTTTATTGGCTATAGAGCAGGACTGATTCTCTGAAACTCTGCCCTTCACTCAGGTCTCCAGAAACTGAGGGGGACATGGACAAAGTCAATCCACCTACCGTTTCCATAACATTCAAAGTTGGCACAATTCACTCTCAAGAGATACTAAATGGCCCTGGACTGTTCTTACAGTGCTGGTTTATTACCACCCTCAAAATAATTGGCCAAACTCTTCTTCACCAATTGTCCCAGATTATAATTAGCTTCATGTTTTGCTTTCTTTGCTGAATAATTTTATTAAAGATTATATTATGCATATATAATTAATATACTCTACATAGTATAACAGACATAACAGGAAAAATTAAAATTAAAAAGCACAGAGAAAGAAAAGAAGAAGAAATCTTCCCCTTCATCCCTATCAAATATAATCAACATTAATATCTTATCACCACCTCTTAAAATGAAGCCAACCATCTCTTTGTTGTGTAAGACACCCCCCTTCTCTATAAACCAATTCTTAAAACCTCATCAAGTCATCTTAATCAACAAAAAGTCCATTAAGAGTTATCAGAAATAACAAAATTACAGGCAGTCCTCGGCTTATGGCCACAACTGAGCCCAAAGTTTATGTTGCTAAGTGAGACATATGTTAAGTGAGTTTTGCCCCATGCTACATTTGCTAAGTGAATCGTTGCAGTTGTTCAGTTAGTAACACAACTGTTAAGAGGATCTGGCTTCCCCATTGACTTGGCTTGTCAGAGGGTCGCGAAAGGGGAACACATGACCCCGGGACACTTCAGCTATCATAAATACAAGTCAATTGTGATCACGGCGTTGTTGCAGCAGTCCTAAGTGTGAAAAATGGTCATAAGTCACTTTTTTTCAATGCCATTGTAACTTTGAATGGTCACTAAATAATATGTTGTAAGTCAAGGACTATTTGTATTGCAGGTATCTAGTAAACCCAGTTTGAAACCTTCCTCTTATATTTTCTATTTTCTCCTTTTCTGATTAAACAAATGCTTCTATTTTCTCTCATCAAACAAACAAAACCTTTATAACATCATCATCTGGTCCTAATTATCAAAATGTTACCCAGGGATGGGCTTCTAAAATTTTAGCAACGTCTTCTCTGCTCAGTTGTTGGATGGGTGTGGCCTAGTCAACCTCCTGCACCATGGCGGCGGGGGGGGGGCGTTTTTGCCCTCCCTGGACTCCGGAGACTCTCTGGAAGCCAGAAACGGTCATGTTTCTGGCTTTCCTGAACTTCTGGGAGGCCCATTTTTCGCCTTCCCCAAGCTTCCGCACATGCCCTGCACTTACCTGCATCCAAAATGGGCCACGTGGGGACACCTGGGAGTGGGGGCAGGGCCAGCCAGGAGTGGGATTTGGGTGTTCTCTGAATTGTGCAGAATCCTAGCTAGAGGATCTCCCGAATCCCTGCGAACCCCCAGCAGCCCACGCCTGCTATTACCCAAGTTAGCAACTCATGTTTTGCTCTCATACTTTAAGATTAAAAGTCAATCTCACTCCATCTTCACTTTTTGTATTTATGCAGATGCATTCTTTACGGTTACTAAGCCAGAATCAGCCTTCACAGATTTTTCTGAGTATGAGTGATAACTTCAGACCAGTCCAACCTCTCAACAATCGATGTATCCGAACAAACATCAACTTTAGTTTACAAGGGAAAGATTGCCCAAACAATAGAGCACAGAAACTACAGTATAGAGGTATGTTCCAAATACTATATTCATTTCAAGGTAATATTTTCTGTTTTGGAATCCCCTTTGTCTTACAATGTCAGATTAGGAAGGTTTGCTCTACCATATCCCAGGTTAAAATTGTTTGTTTGTCAGTCCCAATATTTTCTACTTTAATAACCTCTCTTCACAGTCTCGGACAAGGATCTTTCAATCACCCGCATCCTGGCGAGCAAGTGGAAATACTAGGATTAAAATTAGGATTTTTGATGTGGAAAATATATGTTCTGCCACTAGAGAAGACAGCTCTGTCAATCTTCTAAGGAGGCTTCTAAACATTCAGAAAAATAAGGCTCCCTAAAGGGGCAAAACATGACTGGCATGGTGATTGTTGGAGTTCTGGCTACTGAGTATGAATGAAAGGAGCTGGACCAGAGGTTGGAGTTGAAAATAAATATCATTGAAAAAAACTAAAGATATCATAGAGACAATTACCTTCCTGAAAGATTCTGCATAACATGCACTGGGGGAACTAGATTCTGTTTCAAAACAGTGGAATCATTTATAGGCAACAAAACCCAGATTTTAAGGTTCAAGAACAAATGCAAGAGAGAGTTCACAGCTTTAATTAGTCCTCTTTCCCAGGTTGGCATAAGTTATTTGGTGATCAAGGAGTAGAAAGAAGGTGTAGTTTTGTTTGGTTTTGCTTTTTTAGTAAAAAAATAATAATCTTGTATTAAAAAGAAAAACACTAGCAGCCAGGAAATTAAAAGCACAATTCATTCTGGAACAACTGTTTCTCTTTTATTTTCGAATGCCAGTAACATTCCCTTCCCTGATGAAGCTTCTAATCCAGTGTTTTTCAAATCTGGTTTCTGTAAGATGTGGAGACTTCTGGTCCCAGAATTCTCCATGCAGGCTAGGGAATTCTGGAAGTTGAAGTCCTCACTTCTTAAAGTTGCCATGTTTGAAAAACACTGTTCTAATTTAAACCAGTCTTCCCTGTACAGAGGTTTTAGACCTGAACCCCCATAACTAGCAGGAGCTAAGCCCAAGATGTCTGACCTGAACTATGAAAGGCTTATTAGGACAAAATAATAATGATTATATATTGCAAATGTATAGACAGCAGGTTGGTGTATGGGAAGACAAACATGAATACATCTGTTTTCATGGAGGCCGCCTTCCTAATAAGAGGCTTTTTGCAAGAGACTGCAGCTCAGTAGAAGAAGCCATGTTTTTCATGTAGAAAATCCCAGATTTGGCTCAGTGGCTAAAATACTGCGCTTGTTGATCAGAAAGGCCGGCAGTTCGGCGGTTCGAATCCCTAGCACTGCATAACAGAATGAGCTCCTATTACTTGTCTTAAGCATGTAAAAATGCAAGTAGAAAAATAGGGACCACTTTGGTGGGAAGGTAACAGCATTCCGTGTGCTTTCAGTGTTTAGTCATGCCGGCCACATGACCATAGAGACGTCTTCAGACAGCGTTGGCTCTTTGGCTTTGTAACAGAGATGAGCGCTGCCCCCTAGAGTCAGAAACAACTAGCACGTCTGTGCAAGAGGAACTTTTACCTTTACCTTTTTTAGACCCTAGTATAACCAATATCAGGTTAGATCAATTATGGTGAGTCTTTTGGGTTTAACATGTCAAAAATTTAAAAAAAAACAATTTGATTCTCCTTGCATATAAATACTGATGTGTCCTCCAAAATGTCATGTTGTGTCACCTTTGACACACTTATCATAGGTTCATCGTGACTGTTAGATCGATTAATAATCTGATTGAATTTAAAGCAAGTGACATGTTTTGAGATATTGTGAACAATTATGACATATTCATTCTCTTTCACTAATCCTGAAAACCTTCTCCCCTCTGTAAGAACCAATGTTTAACTTCTTTTTTGAAATATATCCACTTCTGACAAGTTCTAGCTCCAAAGCTTGATTTCAAGGCAAGGCTTGATTTCCCCTACCAGCAGGACATCAGAATCTATAATAACCTCATTATCTCATTGTTCCCATTATCCCATCCACAGGCAGACATATCAGCATTTCAAATGCTGGAGGAAGCCCTGGATAGTGTATAATATTGTCCAGTTAGGATTGATTTATTTACACATTTATTTATTTATTTGGTTTTATCCTAAGTAACTGACGCCACAATCTATCCCTCAGCTATTTCAGTGATCTTTAAATTTATAATTGTAAAAAGAGAAAAATAAAGTGTCATTGTGAAAATTTTTCCATGGTTATTGGGGTTTTTTTCTTCTTCTCTCTTTCAGTAAATGAATGGCTCCTGAAGTAATTAAGACACTAAATGGGAAGAAGTTTTCACCTCAACAGAATGCTACAACTGTGAATTGATATACTACAGAATGCCCCAGCCCCATTCAGTCCTCAGTCTTTGTACTTCATGGAGCCACACTCAAGAGAAAAGGATGCCAAGTTGGAAATTCAGCTCAATGAAATGTATTCATATGATCAGTCATAAGAAAAGAAAAAAAAAAGACAATATCTGCCATTCTCATGATTACAATTTTGATACTGTTTTCCTGAAACTATTATCGCCCACAATGAAGAGACTGTTCAGAATTGTATATATGAACTTCTTCCTCTGTTCCCCTTCTCCCTTCTTCTCTTTCCCATCATAACTCCATTAAAAAGGTGGTTTGCTGCTGCCATCCAAGTGGATTTGTGTTCTGTGTGCCAAGTAATCCTTGGAAAGCTGTCATATCACCCTCATTATTGGTTACTGGCAAAGCAGAACTAGGGAAATAGTAAGGGAGATTTATTTCTGGATCATAGTCTTTCCATTTGCTTAATAATGGACAGATGCCAAGATAAGTATTGTAAATAGATCACTGAAGAATATAAAGGAAATTGAAATATTTTCCCCCTCATCACATACCTGTAGTAGGAACTGCCAAGACTGGAAATTAATCCATTTTTCTGTTTCTTGTTTTACAAAGGTCATACACTGTGTTTGGTTATTGTTAACAATTCAATAAATGTGTTTAACAAATTAATTTACTACACTCACTTCAGTTTATTTTATTTCTTCTCTCTCTCCCCCCCCCCACCACCACATTCCCAAAAAATGGAAAGGACCTTGAATTCTTCTGGCATCAATCAACAGAATTGTATTTTTAAATGTTTATTATTTATATGTCAATATGTAGTTAATAGCTACTACAGGAATTATCATAAATAACAGAAGCACACACACAATCAATTTTAAATTCCTTGGTAAGCATTTTTCGTTGGACAATTTCTTTGGCATTTAAATAAAAAACTGATTTTCATTGGACATCAGAAATACAGGAAGTCATCCCATTGCTTTCTTATATTTCGCCTCCTATCAACATCAACACAGGTTTAGATACATTTCCCTACTCATATAGATCAAACTCTCAGAATTGGAAAGCCAAGTCAATCATACAGAAATAACTCACAATCTTTCATACTTTCTTCTTGAACTGAGTCAGAACTTATACTGTTTGATCTAGTGGTTAAGGCACCAGGCTAGAAAGCACAAGACCTTGAGTTCAAGTTCCACCTCAGCCATGAAAGCCAGCTGTGTGACCTTGACCCAGTCACTCTCCCTTAGCCCAATCCACCTCACAGGGTTGTTGCGGGGGAAAAGCTGAAGGAAAGAGTATTATGTGTGTTCACTGCCTTGAATTATTTGTAAAAATAATAAGGGCGGGAAATACATATATCTACATAAAACTGAAGGCCCTCAGATGCACTGGCCTTACTTTAAATCCTTGATATTTCTGAAAGGAGGTTTACAGAGCTAGTTAAACCACCAAAAGCCTATGACTGAGCTGGCCTAAATTATTTATTTATCTGTTTATTTTCTTGGATAAGACTATACCCCTTTGCCCTAATTCCTAATAATGTAAATTTGCTGTTGTATGGAGGCTTCTTTCTGTGTTCAGGAGAACCTGTGGAAGTCCATTGCATGCACACATATATACCAAATAGGAAACTGGAAGAAGTTTTTTTAATGTTTATGATATCTCATCTAAAATATTGCAGCTGCAATTTTTATAATAGACATAAAAAAAAATACTGAGATACCCTTTGTTCTGTCTTCCCATAAAATATCTGGGTAAGGATATCTCAATAACAATACACAGATTTTGTTAGTATAAAAGTATGATAGCTGTGGTGGCGCAGTGGTTAGAATACAGTACTGCAGGCTACTTCTGCTGACTGCTAGCTGCCAGCAATTTGGAAGTTCAATTCTCACTGGCTCAAGGTTGACTCAGCCTTCCATCCTTCCGAGGTCGGTAAAATGAGGACCCAGATTGTTGGTGGTAATATGCTGACTCTAAACTGCTTAGAAAGGGCTGTAAAGCACTGTGAAGTGATATATAAGTAAGTGCTATTGCTATATTGCTGAAAGAGAATTGTTTACTTAGAGAAGATGTCTGGACGCCACATAGTTGTATCTGTGGTCAGGTAAAGTGGGCATCTGAAAAAGACAATTCTCTTCATCCCGTCTACATAAATTGTTGAAGCAAAACAATGTAACCAATATATCTGATGGGGAAATACCTGCTTTTCTTAATGGACAAAACAAGATTTCACCAAGCCAAAAGCAGATTTTGATGTTTTGTTTTAATTTTGTTTCATGATTAATGATCTTTTACTATATTGAAGTTTTGAGTAAATGTATTCAAGTAGAAGGGAGTGCGATGGTTCAGTGGTTAAGGACACTGAGCTTGTCAGCTGGAAAGTTGAGAGTCTGGATTCAAGACCCAAGTGCCGCACGATGGGGTGTAATGACCCGGGGCGTGGCACAAAGGCAACACAACCAGAGAACAGGTCTAAACCCCCTTTATTGCTCCAATCATGCCCCCAAATGTCCCCACATTCACTACAAGTCCTGGAGCAAAGCTCTCACATGCACCTTCAGAAGCCTCTGGCTGTGAGTAGTCCAGTAAGCAAGGTTAGCCACACAGCAACCAGGACCAGCAGTCCAGTAAACCAGGTTAACCAAACAGAAACCAGGGACAGCAGTCAATAATCCAGGTTAGCCAAGCAGTAACCAGAGCAAGACGTTCAGCAAAGCAGGCAAACTGGCAAGCCCCACAAGACAGAGCACAGTAGTCTCCAGGTGTTGGCAAGTGCACAGGAGGGTCCACAGATTTGATGCTTATTTCTGACAAATGCCCCTCCCACCAGCACCTCCTTACATTTCAGTCCCCAGGTGTGCCTTGTGAAAGGGAGCAGGGCACTCTCCTCCCTCATAGCCTGCTCAATCTGCATTGATCTCACCATCTCTTTTCCTTCCTTGCTGTTGTGGTTCGATGGCAGCTGGTGTGGACAGCAGAGGTATCGGACAGTGAGGATGAAAGGGAACCAGTCAGAAAGTCTGGCGAGGACTTGGACGAGGGTCCTGCATCCGATGCAGGGATGAGGCCAGGACCATCTGAGAGTGGGGTGCTGCCTTCAGAGCCTTCTGAATCTGGCTGCAGTGAAGCAGAGGACCCCAGGGAGCCTGTTCCCAGTGCGCGTGTGCACAGAGCTGCTAGAAGGCGAGAGCAGCTGAAGCAGCAGGGGTGACTCAGGAGTAAGGCTAGGAGGAGATTGCTCCTCCCATCAGGGATAAAAGTCAGCCCTCAGTGATGTGCTCTTTGCAGAAAGCAAAGAAGTTCATTAGATTCTGATGGCTCATTGAAGCCCTGCAAACTCTGGTTTGTCTTTGTTGGAATTTCTGTCAGTTTATATTCTAAGTAATTGGACTTCTGTTTCTTGGCAGCCTTCTACAACCTTGAAAGGCATGAGCTTATCTCAGAGAATTGTGTCTAATGAGTTTTGGGAATGCAAGAAACTCCCAGCGTTGCAAAGGTTTGATTTTACACTCAGTTGGTGTTTCTTTAACTTGGACAAAGCCTGGGTCAGAACACTTGCTCTCAGATCAGGAGGGGGTTGTCCTTGCTCTTCTCCTGAGCTCTCCCTGTCTACAGGCCTTACTAATTCAGAAAAGCCTTGCCTGGACGGACTCTGCCCTTCCCCAGTTTCCTCCAAGGCCAACGGAGCCGCCCACTCAATCTCTGTCAGCTCTTGTTTCATCTCATCTTCCCCTGCAGATTCAGACTCTGACATGGGGTGAGTTCTGTTACTAGCCCCAGCTCCTGCCCACCTAGCAGTTTGAAAGCATGCAAATGCAAGTATATAAATAGATACCACTTCAGTGGGAAGGTAACAGCATTCCGTGCTTCTCGGTGTACAGTCATGCTGGCCATATGACCATGGAAATTGTCTTCAGACAACACTGGCTCCCTCAACCAAGAAGCGGAGCACTACCCCCTAGAGTCAGACATGACTGGACAGGGGAAACCTTTATCTTTATTCAACTGGAACCTCTTGAACTACTCTCTGAAAAAACAGTTCCTGCTCCTCCCATAGATCAAATCTAATTTGCTACACACATACACACACCATGCCTGTCTCTCTTCTCCTTTTATCTTGCATTATTGGATGATTTGTGTAGTGTTTTCTGAATAATAGATGCAACCAAAATGAGATTGTTGATCATATAAATTACTTTTTAAGAAATATCTAGCAGTTGTCAAGAGTGAGGATTAGAACATTTTTCACAGGTCTGGGATTCATGTCTTCATATTGTAGTTAAAAAGAAAGAAAACAAAAATATTTGCTGGCCAATGGTCCTACATTTCCACTTGTCTTCTTGTTCTTGTAACAAGAAGAGGTATTACTGAATGTTTGGAAACTTATAAACATTTTCATATATTCAAAGTATCACCTATATTGCTGATACATTATTACATATTACTGCTATTTCTATATTGTCCCTTGATTATCCAATCCCATAGATTAGAAATACCACCAAAAGAGAGAGAGAGAAAATATGACGGGGCAGCATGTTGCTAACATTAAATCTTGACTACATTATCAAGAGTTATACCAGGAACCAATAACCTCTGTGCAATGTATCCCTAAGACCAACACTTGAGGTATCTGGCTAACCAGTGACTGCCCTTTGGGAGAGGCCATTCACTCTTCCAAACTGGTCCTCACTCTTCCTTTTGATCCTCAGCTTGTCCTTACTTCTAATATTCTGCCCTGACAACCACAAACATATGTACAAGTAGTCCTCAACTTACAACAGTGACCATTGAAAGTTACAACAACCCTGAAAAAAGTGACTTATGACCGTTTTTTTATACTTACACCCATTGTAGCATCCCCATGGTCATAGGATCAAACTTCAGATGTTTGGCGACTGGTTCATATTTATGACGGCTGTAATTAGGACATGTGATCACCTTT